GAGATACTGCAGATGTTGATTGCTCTCTGGATAGTAACCAACTTCACGTTGCCTAGTATTCAGTGCTGACTGAATCCTAGCTATCAGTTAGAAATGTGATCACTGAGAAATTGATGACTCTCCCCAGTGATCAAACAGTGTATCTAATGTAGTAATTCAGGTCAATTACAGTTCGAATAGCTCAGTGGTAAGATCTTTGACTGTAGCAATAAGTGAGGTGGCTCTGAATCTCTGAGACGACGTCAGTTTCCTTAAGGAAGTAGGTATGTCATGCTGACGAGCGTCAAAAAGCCCAACAAGTAGATGGACCAGAGCTTCCCATCTATTACCCCCAAACAACCAACACTGAAGAGATATTGTGTGTCATCCTACCAATTGTCTTAAAGGAGTGCTAAGGTCCGGTTCAAATATATCTGTGATGCTTTTGCATATGATGAAATTTAAATCTGTTTTACTTAGGAGACCTCACAATTCTATATATTTGTTTTCGTTGAAAAGTATCGACTCGATTTACCACTGACTTTCACCTTCCAAATTACCTTGCCGAGAACAAAACCTAGCTAGGTCAAAATTGGTTGGTCTTAGTAAGATAAAAAATTTGGAATAAAGCTTACCCATACTTATGCATGCAGTCACACACAACAACACAACAGTGTGGGACAAGGTGAAGATCCTTACAACCAACATAGTGGAGTGGAGGGAGGCATTGATAACTGAATCTTTGTTTATCGAATCAACACCTAATACATGTAACAGGAATGATTTAGCACCTGTTACGGATATATAAGAAATCCTACTGCTCATATCATCGAGGAGGCAAGGAAGCTAGGACCATATAAAGGATATTTCAAAGTTGTGTAGTTATCTTGATATGACTATGGATAACAAATTATATGCGAAACACAATCCATTAAACAAGACTGTTCCACCGTGCGATAAACCTAGTAAATTAACTAAAATGGAGTTGCATTCTACCAGAGTGCTTAAGTTTAACTCTCGTACTACTAACCTTACAGTTTTTTTTACCTAGTAGCCTTTACTAGGTAGACATCCGTTGTCTAAATTCTATTTTCGATATGGGAACTAATCACTCCTGAGGTTTAAGACGTTAAATCCTCAAACTATGTCTCAGTTTCAAGTGGGTTCATTTTATTGCTAACACATTGCAAAATTTATTTACAAGTGACATAACCTCAAGTATGAGTATGATTCAAGCTTGAACTAGAAAGGTTGTAAGTGAATCTTACGACATAACTACTGATCCAAAGTTTTGTTATCATACGTTTCTAATTAAATTTACTATGCCTAATAACTTCATGTCTTATATCCATCGTCAAAAGATTAAAAAACTACTAGGGTCTGTGCACAGGCAAATCTCTACACACTTTCCCCAACACCTATGAATTTACTAACTACATGATAGATGTGAAGGTACTAGATACCGATTCCAGTTCCACTCATTTTTACCTACCAGATTTCCCGTATAATCCTACCAAGAACTGCTCAGTGGGGGCATATTATGAGGTTTCTGAGATGATGGAGAATATTTATAGCTCAGGAGGATGACTTCCAATGGTGTTGTTTTCTGGTTTCTGAAGTTTGTGCTAATGATGTTGTCTAGAATGAAAATGAAAGCTTCACGATTAAATCATTCAACTCAGAGAATGTAACACCATCAAAAGTACTATGAGGTTTCAAAATACTGCATAAACACCCAAATTTTGATACGCGGAACCCAACACCCGCTAGTTGGAACTGAATTACTCACAGCATAGATTTGAAGAAATAACTATGGATTAAAGGTATCTGCTGAAATCACCGGATGTTGTCTAGTCTACTGAAATGGAAGCCACAACATTCATTAATACAAGATAGCCAATGCAGCCGATTCCGTCTATAATAAATTCACTCATCTTACCACTATATACAATTTGATAATGTATAAATAGTCACTGAGATAAAACTATTTTTCTTTGATCTTCATACAACCACACTACTTTTTGGAACATCAGAGTTAAGAGGACTGGCATCTAATGTAATGTTATAACAACTCGAGTGGATTCTAAATAGAAATTTTAGAGATGAGAGCATCAGAAAGCATATATATATTGCCTTCTAACAGGAAACTAGGGACTTTGCATGAAAAAGGGTGAATGAAAGTGTGTAAAAATGAAATATTTTTACAACCACTTAGATCTGTTAGCGCTAGAACTGTCGGGACACGTATACCACAAAACTGGCGTGCTTCATAACCCTGCTTCAAGCTGATCACTGTCCTCTCCAAGTTTGGTCGGCTCTGGTATGACTACATTAGTACCGTACAAAGAATGACAGAAGAGTCGGTAACTGGTGGTTAAATAAACTTCGTTCGAAAGTGCGCTACTCATTATTCCAATCGATGATTCGAAACGTTCGTAACTGACACGTCTCACCATCTAATCCTCAATGATCAATCTTAGTCACATGTGAATTTCCCTTTACCGTGACCGGTGACGCCTTCTCAGTCTCACAAAACTTCATCGTGAAGTATGAGGAAACAGTAACTAAAAAGGGTAAGTGCGATACAGATGAGGAGAAAGTCGCCCCCTAAGCCTTGATTTCAAATATGATGACGTTTCTGAAAATTAACTACGAAATAAATATAACACCGAAGAGAACACATCTAGGTGCTACGTTAGTCACCCGTATTACCGAATGAATCGACCACTGAATCAATTCAAGGCAGACAATCACGTTACCTCTGACTGCATGCATCAGTTCACATGTACAAGCTAAAGCATAGACACTGACCGAATAGAGAACGCATATGACTGTAAGCCTAATCATGTCCCAAGAAACACTCATAAAAACTAGATCAGTATGAACACAACCACTGTATATGCAGTCTTCTATGGCTCGCCATTTTCTTCTCCAGCCTTTACTAGATGAAAATTAATGCTCTTTGTCACACTTGAGACAACCTTTACAACCAACTGAAGGCCGTTAGGAGCACTTCTGCTCCACCTGTCAGTACGAAAGCAGGAAGTTTCCTGACTTACACACTAGAGCATTTTTAATAGTTTAAACAATACCGAATAATTATCTCATCTTAATACTCGTGCTTGTAAAAGGTTAACATGACAACACTACTAGATTTACCTTTAAAATGCCTGTGATAGTTAGCTACATTAAAGCGTAAGACCATAAATTAATGCAGCACAAGCCAGTACAAGTGATACCCTGAGTTAGAAGAGGAGGGCACGAAATCCAATGAGATGAACGAAATCTAATCAGCAACTTTGTGCCCATTCGTTTAGTAGGCAATGAGCCACACCTACTGTGTAAGGCCTAGTGATGTTATCCACCTACCAAAACTTCACCACATGAAGCTATTTTAACCCGCTATCCATCAGCTGGAAACCCAAGTGCCCAAATTAATTAGCGACGCCTTCATTTACAATCGTAACGTATATATTACTAGTTTCAAAGATAGGAAGTAGCTCATATACCATTAAATCATGACCAAGGTCGTTGTTTACTTGAATTATGTAAACTCCATCTTTACAGATGGACACGAATGAATAAGAATGTTTGAGTTGTTTCCACACACAGATGTTGGTCTCATTGATTTTCATTGCTTCCGACTACTGCTTGATGCAGCTGCTGCTTCCATCTCACGTGTTTTGACCACCAAGCCGGCGGTTCCTGCGTAAGCATAGGAAACGCGAACCACTGTACTCGCTATCCGCTTGGATGGTCTAACGGGGTCAAGTTGCAGGGAGCCGCGAGATTGACCGTAAGACTGAGTTTAACGCCACAGTTCTGTCTCATTTTACTAAGTGCTCCACTCTTGACAGAGACAGGTATGTTGTTTACGTTGAGTGATGACTGTCAACGATGTCTACTTTGTCTTCAAATAAACCAGTTATATGGAGGTTCCCCTCACCATGACTTCACATGTAATGAATACATGACTCATCAGTAAACTTCAAATATAGGTATAATGCAGTCCTCTAGAGACTGAGATATGTCACCTTCCACATGTTCAGATTGTTGCTCCGAAACTGTTGATACCTTGCCTTACAATAGACAGATGTGCAGGAGCTCACCGACCTTCTTCCACTTTAATGGGAGGATGAATTAACGCTTATGGGTGTGACCGCAATGATCTTCGCATAGACGCACAACGTTCGATGGACCCTCGTAAAAACTTATCCCATCTGCTGCACCAGAATGATATCCAAGTGTCTGTTGAGGAACGGATATTCTACTAAGCAATTCAATCTGTCCCACTACACAGCCGTTCAGGTACTCAAACATAAGAAGACTCCAGTGCTTGACCTCCGTTGCTTTCATAATATTGACTGCCGTAGGAACAAGGTAATCGCTGTGTTGACTCTGGTAAAGAAAAGTGAGTCAGTGAGATTTTGAACTCTCAACTGTTACTACCGCAAACATCCTGGAGTGACAATTTGAACAAATCCAATAAACATCTCAGGTTTATAGCGTCCCAAAGACAGTGCATTTAAAATTTACAAAATTATGTCACCTACGGACTATAGGATGGTATTTAAAGGGTTATGCAGACGCTAAACATCAATTTCAGTCAGCTACCATAGGACTTCTCGACCAAGTCAAATGTCATCGTCAGGCCTAGGTGACTATTATTAGACGGATATTTGAAAAGTTATAGGGGATAAGGACCACGTCAGTGCGCCTGTGACAAGTATACACCAGACCACACACATCCCGCAGTCAAGTGCGTGGAAAATAGGACCAGTGCCTTAAATTACATGCTCAGGCAAAAGTCTTACCTCTAGAATATCAGCTGATAATCCTACAGATTTTATACTTCACCCAACTGACGGGATCCATACGCCTTAGTTTAATACATCCTCACTACCTATATCGTTGAGAAACAAATGAAACTATATACAAAAGCTATATTGGAGAAATCTTACATTTATTGATACGTACAATAAATATAAAAATAACTTTCTGCAGTGCTCTTAATTTCGTCTTTAATCAGCATCATCTTCAATTTTTGGTGCCAAGTAATACCTTATGTAACCCAGATCTTCAATACTGAACTCCACAACTAAAAAATCATATACACGTATACAGTTAAATTACCTGCAGGGACGTTTTCTGTCAAAGACAAAACGACTTGAGCAGACAGTGGTGCTGCCTTTGTGAATATGTTGAAGTAGTGCAAGGAGTACGTCATACTAACAGCTTCGTGCATTTCTACCGTAACAGATTCCTCGGGTTTGTCACAGTTAGCAGACTGACAAAGTTTAATATTCCCAGTTCCTAAATCCCCAGTCGAACTGAATGAAACACCATCCTTAGCAACAGATATCACGACGGAATCCCCTATTTGACTTAAGTCTCGACAGATTCTCTGTAACTGGGCCGAAGGCATTCGTATAATACATTTGTAATCAGTGTCCTGAAAGGGGCTGAATAACATCTACAGTGACTTACGGGTATCCCTAGGTGGTCAGTATCCAGATCCATCAGCTTTATTTCAAATTCAGATGACTTCTCTTGATCTGAAAACGATAAGACAATAGTCTGCACCTACTTTTCGACTCGAATACAAATGTTAATGTGTCAGCCTTATCTTCAGCTTTGAGGGTGACTGCATCATTGCCACTAGCACAACGCAGTATTTTAGACGCACTAATTCCAATAAGAAATGGCGTTTAAATTACCTGGTGATATTTAAACCCAAAGATAGATTCCGGTCACATCTGTATGTTTCGAAACCGTCACTGCGTAGCAACAATGACACCAGGCTCACATGAGCGTTGTCCATGGCTTGTAAACTGATTCCATTTTCAGTACAATCAAGAGTCGCTTCCTGAACGAGATCCTTGATTGCGTCTATAATTTTCTTCCATACATCAGCTTGTGTAAGTCTGGCTTCAAACATTCTAACGACAACTCTCACCGCGTTTGAAATTTGTATTGCCCACAGTGGCCTTCGTTTCCGCCAAAGCGCTGAAAACAACAAACAAAAAATTAACTTCAGGCAGAGATTGTCTGTCATTATTGAAACCGTCTGTGACTTTCCACAAAAGTAGTGGGAACTGATACTTTCATGATTCTCACTTCCTGTTCTTGAGGTTTGGTTCCTTTCATCAATTCGAAAGCTTCTTTCAGATGGAAACTTTTCTACTCATGTCTTTAGCGGTTACTTATTCCTGTGTCTTGCACCATTTGTTGTAAGTTGCTTCCAATACTCATTATGTAATATCTTTTTGTGAGTCAACGTAAACAAATTGTTACTCATCAGTTGGAGGAACAAAGGAAACCTGGGAGCACTGGACAGCTGTTTCGTCCTAGTATGGGTGGCGGTTCGCGCTATATCGTGAGCTAACAGAAGTTGGAAATATGGAGCATTGGATTCTGACCCAGTGGCTCACTGGTAACGCGCTGGCCGCGGAACCTGAAGGTCGCGGGTTCGATCCCTGCTGGTGGGGTCGTGGGTGCGCACTGCTGAGGAGTCCCATACTAGTCTGACGAAACAGCTGTCCAGTGCTCCCAGGTTTCCTTTGTTCCTCCAACTGATGTCAGTCTTCGATGAATAACAACTTGAAATATTTCCAAATCTCCACAACCCCTCAAAAATTTAAGTAAACAAATTGATTTATTCACGCTCGCTTCTTGATGGGTCACGATGCGGGTGGTCTACCCCTAGCCCGCAGTAGCCCTGGTTAGCCCGACGGACAGGTTGGCTGTTCATTAAATATACAGGTATTCTGTGATTCATTAGTGGACTCAGTGCATGCAGATCCCTCAGATACCCTCCCACCAAACAGTTTTTCAGACTGCTTGTATCCAGTACCCATTTGCCAGCTAGTGTGAAGCAACTGATTTCTTCGCGCTCGCTTCTAGGTCTTGCGGAACGGTTCCAGGTCTTTGGTGAATTCCGATGCAGTAGGTCTACCCACTCAACTGCTGTAGCTCTGGTCAGCCCAGCGGGCGGCTGGGTGTCGGTTGACTTTGTAGGGGGTGTTGGTTGTTTGCTTTTTTCTTCCGAGGACTGTGGTGCAGATGGGTTCCTCAGGTGTCGTGCAAGCAGACAACTGGTCAGACTGGTTGTAGAAAGGGGATGAAAAATGTGTGCGAAGAAATCAAGGGAGAGAAAGTGCAGAGAAAAACAGGGGGAAGAAGAAAAGGAAAAAAGAAAGAAAGGTTTAGGAAAAGGAAACGGCTCGGAAGAAGAGACATTGATAGGTTTATGGGGAAGGGGTGATATGGACGGTTTTTGTTAAAGTTTGTGAACGTGAAATCAGAAGGAAGAAGAATAAATAATATGATGGGACGAATGGGAATATAGTAATTCTTTAAGTACGAGACGGTAACTGGAGGGGACGTCTATATGAAAGTATTTTCATGGCATTTAGACACTTAGTATCATGACAGAGTCTAATATTCTCCCTCTGCATCATTCAATATTGCTGAAACCTTTAATGTTCCCCTGCAGTTATCGATTTGGTGAGGCCTGTAAACTGGCTTCTCTCATGTTAACTTCATAACTTGAGAATAAAGATATTTGTTCATTTATTTAGGTTGAGCCAAGTTCCAGTGATAGTGGTTTTACAACGTATTCAGTAGCGGTTGGCCGTACCGAGCTAGTAGGCTGTGTCAGCCTAGTCCACATCCCAGTTGGATGAGCGCAAACCGTGAGCCGCTGAGTAACTGTCTAACCTCCCCTTGAAGCCGTCAACAGACGGAGCAGTAGCAACCTCGGCAGGCAATGAGTTCCATTGGCCGCAAACTCTCAGAGAGAAGTGTGATCGCACACGGTTTTCGCTCTCTGGTGGACGATTCTCCTTGGGTTACCACGAGGGCAGCCTTAGTGGCCGTTCGGTTGGATTTCACTGTTGGGATGGCTTGGGTTACCTAGTATTTTGTGAGCCGCAATCAAGTCACCACGAAGTCTACGGCAGCTTAGGAAGTAGATTCCTGGATCTATCAGCCTGTCCTCATATGGTTTTTGCCTCACTCCCACTACACCCTTTGTAGCTCGCCTTCGGATTTTCCCTAGGAGGTTCACGTCTCTTTTCAGATATGTTGGTGCGGCGACGTTGCGTACCTCTAGGCGGGTCGTAGATAGGTCTTATACAGCTTCAAAAATAGTTCTGGGGTAAAGGCACACAGTTGTCTGCGCATGAAGTGCAGTGCTGCGTAGGCTCTGGCGGCATCTCCTGGATAACTGGAGCTAGTGTCTAGTTTGTCATTGTTAGCCCTGGGTCTTTCTCTGTAATGGCGTGGGAGAGTTGTGTTCCACAGGGAGGATATGGTACCCTGTGAGGGTCTGGGGTGCGAGGAAACATGGCTCGGCATTTATCTAGATTAAACGCTGGTCCATTATTATCCACCCACTCTGCAAGTAATCTGAAATCACTTTGCGGTGCACTTGATTCTGTTTCCGATGTCATAGCTCTCCACAGCTTAACATCATCAGCGTAGAGTATAATTGGGGAGCTGAGATTCAGCGGGAGGTCGTTCACAAAAAGAAGGAATATAGCATTGGACCCAGAATCGCCCCCTGTGATACACCAGATGATGGTGTCCTCCAAGTCAAGCAAACTCTGTTGGCTTCTGTGCAGAACTGTCTACTGTCTAGATAGCCCAGCAACCATGAAAGGACTTGTCTCTTGATGCCTAACCTTTCTATTTTGTGAATAAGAATGATATGTGGGATTGTGCCAGAGGCCCTGGCAAAATCCAGGAAAATAGCATGGACAGGAATTTGGAGGTCCTAACATGCCGTCCATTTATCACCTGCAGCCAGAACGTTTGAGGCACAGGACCTACCCCTTCTGAAACCGTGTTGAGCGTCACTAGATGCTCCCCTCCTTTCTGGGTGCTCCGTGACTTGGTCATCCATCAGGCCCACCATTACTTTTGACATCACCTGTTGGAGGGCTTTGGGTCGGTAGGATTTTGGGTTCTGTCTGTCTTCTCCTTTGAAGATGGGGGATAGAATTTGCACCTTTCCAATCTCGTGGAAGCATGTGATTATCTAGGGGGTGTTGAAACAGACTACACAGCGGACCGCACAAGGCACCTGCGCATTGTTTTAACACAGCCGGTCGGGTGTCGTCGCATCCTGGTGATTTCACTGAACGGAGCTTTGATAGTTTTTCGAGGATCATAGCAGGAGTTACCTTAACTCCAGGTAACTCTACTACATTTGGTGGCCCTGAATGTTGGTCGGACGGTCAGTAATTTTGGTTCTATAGGGACATATTCAGTTGCTTACCGAAGGTGACGCTAAAGGCCTCGGCGATCTCTAGTCCGGAGGGGTTCTCTCTGTCCAGGCCTTTACAGATGCAAACCTTCTGGCTGGTGGATTTTCTGCCTGCTATAAACCGATATAGGTTTTTGGGGTTCGCTCTGAGCTACCGGGCGAGGTTCGTCCAGAACGACTTCCTGTCTCCCCTCACCCTGATGTTACATCGGTTTCTTAGGGCCATGTATGCGGCGTGGTCAGTTTTTTTCCAGAGGTACTCCACTCATGCCATGCTTTCCTCCTGTCTTTCAAAAGGCGTTCAGTGCCTCGCTTCAGCCACTAGATTCGCTTCTGTGGTATTGCTGTGATTACAGGGACGTTTTCAAAGATGGCTCTCTTGGTGACATCTTTAACTACTTCTCTATGTTAGTCAGTAGACAGGTTGCTCCACCGCTGAGGCCACGGTGCTGTCGACAGGTATTGGTCCATCACCACGTAGTTCGCCTTGCTGAGGGCGAGATCTCCCTCCATGACAGTTGTTTGTTGAGTGTCAGATCGAAAACTACCGCGCAGTGATCGCTGATGCCGAGGGGGGTTCGAACCTGTGCATCGTCTACCAGCAGGTGGTCACTTGCAAAAAGGTAGTCCAGTTTGGACGGCCTTCCGCTCGACCCCCAGCGAGTATCATCACCAATATTCTCGTGCAGCCCAGCCTTTCGGATAGTGTTGAGTAGGTTTCGGCCGAACCTTCGGCTGGAGGTTCTCCTGCCCTGCCCGAGATTAAGAGTCGGAGAATTAAAGTCACCGGCTTTTCTGACCTGGTCATATCTCATGGACGTCACTCCAGGCATTACTTGCAGCAGTTGTCGGTTATCTTCCACGCTGCCAGTAGGAGTTCTGTAGACGCCTCCTACCAGGTACTTGGTGTGCCCAACCTTAAAGTGACACCAGATGGAGTCTGAGAGCCCTGAAAGTAGAGTTTCCGTTGCCCGTTCACTTTTAAGGTCATCGCTTGGACGCATCACCACTCCGCCTCCTTCCTCAAACCCCCCATCTCTCCTGAACAGACTCATACCATCCGTACTTGTTTCGATGTCACTAATATCTGATGGTAACCAAGTTTCTGCTAGGATTATGATCGTTGGAGTAAGGTAGGAACAGGGAATTCGTAGTCCTTCCATCCTGTTTCTAAGTCCCCTCACATTACTGTGCAGACGCTTGGATATGTTTCTGACGACGAGGGGCATCTTGGCGCTGGCAGACTGAGAGGGATCGCGATTAGTGGCGAAACTTGCTATGAAACGGCCAGCTTCAGTGGAACCGGCTCAACCAGGTTTTTCCCCAAAAAGGTTTCTGGGGGTTTTATAGAGCCTAGGCTTGTTTGTACATCTTGTCTGTTGACAGTGATGGTGACCTTAGCACTGGGCGGAGCTGTCTTTTGTTGTTGCCGCAGTGTCCTGGGCCTGCTTTCACAGCAGCGAACGTTCCCGCTGATGTTATTCTTTACTGTGTACCAAGTTTCCAGTACTTTGGTTAAAGGTTCTCGACAGCAAAAGTCAATAGCCATTGACCTGGGAGATGTTATCGCCGTCAAAGGTGAGGGACGTGGCAATCTGCCGACCGACACCGCCGCTATCCCATTTAACCCTATCCTCGCTGATAACCGCTGCCGTTGCCGGACGTCGTGA